CCGCATAAGATGTTGTTTCCAGTTATACCTCCCCTTTTGTAGTATTTAGCGGCGACTACCTTCGTTGTTCATTGTTAGAATGGCGTCGATGCGAATATCAAAAGCATGAAAATTGTTCTTGAGCATGTTTCAATTGGTGACGGTCTTGGCTTGTTGTGAGGCGGTGCACCGTATGTACGCTTCGTAGCGCTTAATTCGTGAGAGACAACATGGCAAGTTCTAGCCGGGGTCATCTATGTAACATCTGCACAGTGATCACTGTCGCCGACCTAGGTAAGCAGGAGGTGTACGCACACCTACCAAATCAGTCATCCCTAGTAGCAGCCATCGAAAATGGCCGCCCACTTTACCAACTGCTCCACTCATTGCTCGAGACTGATTTCGCTGCTCAAGAAGTGGAGGTGTTCTATCGAAGGGACGATTAGCCGGTCAACCTCAGACACGCTATTGTGTCCAACACGGAGAACAGGCTTGGATCGTTGGACCTTGTTAGGGCAGACTGTCGTGCGATCACTGAACCCAAGCCACCAGGTGCATTGGGAAGACTCTTTGTGTGGTTCCACATATATGTAGACAACGATCAGTGATGCACACCCGATGAGTTTTAATCACGCTGACAACTCCTAGATGGCTCTGCAGCGAAGTTGATACTTGACCGCCCCATCGCACGCTGTTGAGAGTCAGTATCATTTGGCAAAGGAGTGGTTGAAGACTTGGGACGAGCGACGTGAGTGTTCCTGTAGAGAACCCCAACCCATGCCTCTGATATTGGACCTGCGAACGAAGCCTGCGGGTGAAGCCTGCAAACCATTCCTACTATTTACGGACGGGCGTCGTGGTCGTTATGTCTTCATACCGTATTGCTGGGGAGGCTCGCAGAATTCAACCGCTACACAGCAAGAGCTGTCACAGGCCGCACATGATGCAATCAAAGTATTCCGAACCCTAGATATTAGACACTTGTGGATTGACTCTCTGTGCATTATTCAGATTGAGCAGCATATCCAAGCGAGATACGACCTAGTAATGCACTTCGAGACGAGCTTCGAGACGAGCTCTTCAGAAAGTTGCCCTAGGAGGGGCACATGCAGACACGCCCATAGTCGAGGGGACTTTGACAGGTTGCCGCCTGAGCGAAGCATAATCTGGTGCCTGCGCTTGACTACAGACGATGGGCTGATACTGCTCAGAGATAGCGATAGGCACCACCAGTGTATTAGCAGGTTTCAATTACTGCAAGACGACATCTTCCAGCGCAATGGCCTTCACGACCAGGAGATTACGCTCATCTGAACTTACCTACCAACACAATAAACTACTAGGAACTAGACTGGACGAACATCTGGAGTCTGGGTATACGATTCATTGAAGGACTGGTCCTCTCTGTACCACCCTGCTGGGAGGAAGTCATGCCATCCGGTACGCCCGAGACTTAACCCGGAATCACCTTATTCCCAACATGCTCCCGCTGCATCATCGGTCCGTCTCGCTCCTACACCGCTGCCTTCTAATGGGGTTTCACACGAACAAATTCCAAGCAAAGTTCATCTAAGTTACTCATAAACGAACATCTCATGTTCTTGCGTTCCAGGATTAGGTACCTAAGCGAGAAGGAGGACGCGCACTAACAGCTGCCGCTTGGCATCTCCGACTGAGCTTCAGCCTTACCATCTGCATTTAGCCGGGGCGGCTGCATTGGGCAATCGGGCGAGAGTCCGTGGTGAAACGGTCAATTGGTAATGAACTCCGGGGATCTCAAGTCATTTGAACAAGCGGTATCAGATATACGCCAGAGAAAGGCGTCCATGCTCGATTATGCGCAGTCCTTGATGTCACTTTCCATGGGACGCACCTCCTGTCGCGGCTGAATGCTGAGCGCCTGCCCCGCCATGGATTGGTTTATGTGGGGTCTCCGGCCAGTACACAGAATCTAGCGGAAACTGCTCGGTCGGCATAGGTAGGGGCCAGGTAGAATAGAGCCAATAGAACCAATCGATGACGGGCAGATCGGAGCAGGTCATGCGTTTGCCCAGGGGCTTTTGCAGGTTTAAGAAGCCACGTCGGGCTCCGGTAGAAGTTGGGTGGGCTGCTCTACCTCGTGGATTCTGGACGGTTCGCCGCGTGCTCATCATCCTTACCCGTCGCCTCACATCGGCATGAACGTGCTAAGACCCTTTGCGAGGTGAGGCGAAATTTCCCTCGTCAGCTCACTACCTATCGAGCTAGCCTTAGGCAATCGATCCGTGTTTATTTAAACCTTGCCGGCTCCCTCCACCCCACTGACACGTCTCTGTTTCTAGAACTGTTGCTCTCTTCTCTCCCACCTCGACATCACTCCTAAGACCCGTTCACGCTTCGTTTCAACCCATTAAGAAACCCACTTTCATCAGATCTTACGCCGCAATGGTTGCTCCAACTGTTAAGCTCAGCTCTGGCCACCAGGTTCGTTTATGCAGCTGCAATTGTTCAGAACCGAGTCCAATTGCTGACACTCACCAAGATGCCTCTGGTTGGCTTTGGCCTCTGGAAGGTCAATAACGACACCTGCGCCGACACTGTTTACAACGCCATCAAGTCTGGCTACAGACTCTTTGACGGTGCTTGCGGTATGTTCAATTGGTAGCAATGAATGGTGGGACAAGCACGCTCATAATGACTTAGATTACGGCAACGAGAAGGAGGCAGGTGAGGGTGTGGCTCGCGCTATCAAGGACGGTCTCGTGAAGCGTGAGGACCTTTTCCTCGTTTCCAAGCTCTGGAACTCCTTCCACGACGGTGACAAGGTCAAGCCAATCTGCAAGAAGCAGCTCGAGGACTGGGGCATTGACTACTTCGACCTCTACATTGTCCACTTCCCAATCGCCCTCAAGTACGTCGACCCATCCGTCCGCTACCCACCTGGCTGGAGCGATGAGAACGACAAGATCACTCCAGCGAAGGCCCCTCTCTCCGAGACCTGGAAGGCCATGGAGTCGCTGGTCGACGATGGCCTTGCTAAGAGCATTGGTATCTCCAACTACAACGGTGCTCTGATTCTCGATCTCTTCCGCTACGCCCGCATCATCCCAGCCACTCTCCAAATTGAGCACCACCCATACCTCACCCAGGAGCCACTTGTCCAGATGGCTCAGGAGCGTGGTATCCACATCACCGCCTACTCTTCCTTTGGCCCACAGTCTTTCATCGAGCTTGACATGCAGTCGGCCAAGGACGCTCCTCTTCTGTTCGACCACGACACCGTCAAGAGCATTGCCGACAAGCACAGCAAGACCCCAGCTCAGGTCTTGCTCAGGTGGGCCACGCAGCGTGGCGTTGCCGTCATCCCAAAGAGCAACAACCAGCACAGACTTGCCCAGAACTTGGATGTGTGCAGCTTCGATCTTAGCGATGCTGAGATCAAGCAGATTAGCAGCTTGGACCGTGGTCTTAGGTTCAACAACCCAACCAACGTGAGTGGAACAGATTCCTTGGATTTCTTGCCTTTACTGACTTGGACGACAGTACGGTGTCCCAATGCCAATCTTCGCATAGATGCGTCATTTAGCTGTATATACATGAATGAAAGAGCTGATATGAAATACACCTAATTGATCGTATACAAGCCACTTGGTTTTGGCGGGAGCGTTTTTGGGACTTCTTTTGCGAAACTCACGGGAGGTGAGAAGCGATCCCAGTCCTTGCCCGACTTCTGCGCGTGCATGTGCTTATCCTTGTAAAGACCCATGGCCAACGGATCATACAATTTTGTTACGCGTGGCATCCATGCAACCTCTACCCCGCGAACCCCTCCAACGGGACCTCGTCCCGCTTCAAGGTTGCATGTGGCCAGACCCTCCAATCTACGTCATGCTAGGATTCCACCACACCCACTTGTCCCGCTGTTTCACGTGTAATCCGTATTCATTCTGTACAAATAACTCGTAAAAGCCCTCGAAGGTTTTTTACTTACTATTTAAAACCAATCTACGAATTCAAAAGAAACCAGTTTCCAGGAAACTCGAGAAGCCGTTTCACGCACCGAATCCAAACCCAAACCCAAACCCAAACACCCCGCTCACGAAACCCACCCCAACTACCTTACCTTACCAACCCACCACAATGTCCTCCAACGACGCATCCCAACAAAAGAAGCAATCCGGCGGCTGGATGTCCAGCATCAGCGGCGCGGCCTCAGGCGTAGCCGGCACCGCGGGCTCAGTCGTCGGCGGCACCGTCGGCACCGTCGGCGGCGTGGTTGGAAACGTCGGACGTGGCGTCGGAAAGACTCTCAGCGATGCCAGTACGGGCATTGAGAATACGGCTGGGGGCGCGGCCGATGGGGTTAAGGGCGCTACGGGGGCGAAGCAGCAGGATAAGTAGGGTGTTGTGGAGAGTGGAGGGGAGGACGAGGGGTGAGGAGGGGGTGGATGGATGGATGGACGAGGGGAATGTGAAGGGTAGGCTGCATGCGGAGGAATGATAACATTGATATGAATGCTTATGATGATTGCTGGCGAAGAGGTTTCTAGGGAAGAGGGCGCCAATGCTGCGCTGGGAATGTCGTATAATAAATAGTATATAGTGATGACAGTACGCTTGCATTCTATTGTGCTCGAAGTTCAGTGAAGCGACGGACATGCCACTAATGAGTCTCGATGCTTTCAGCTGGGTCGAAGATTTGACCTGCGTGGTTTGAGGAAACAACCGCTTACGAGTGCTGCCAGGCCTTCAGTCCATGCTCGAGAGCTGCTAGCTCGCTGTTCCACAGGTCCATGTCCAGTTGTGCTGAAATACGTGCTTACTACCTTACGCCAGGCTTGATCCGGTGTCGAGGAGCACTGGTCCTTCTACCATGGGTGTCCTCGAATTTGGCGAGGTCGCAACGTCTTTCAGGCTCTCTGATGCGACCTGGGAAATGATCCCGTTTCGAGCGTCTTTGGGATGGGCTATCGGATTTTTTCAGGGTTAGCCTCTTTCACCAACGATATATATTACAATAGCTAAAACTTTGTCATGTCAAAAGTTCTATGGTCTAGTGGTATGACGTTCCCTTCACAAGCTTAAAAACTGCGGGAAAGGTCCTGGGTTCGATCCCCAGTAGGACTAATTTGAGATTAGGGCGAACTTCTTCTTTTGCATTTTTTTCGCCCCGGGGGGCTTCTGCTAACACGAGCTCCGAAGCCGGACGAGTCCTTCCATGCGATCTATGACTGCTATAGGTCTGCTTGCCCTGGGTAATGGGGCGTTGCGGCTTCGGAGATGGTATCCGAGCTGTGTGTAAGCAGCAATCCAGTACGATCTGACTGGCGTTGGATAGGGCTGCTTGACTCGCTTCTTTTGGGCGGCCTTGCGACTCAGTCGTATCAATGGCGCGCCGACTCAATTGTCCAAGTTCTAAATATTATTTTCAGGTTCTAGTTACTATCCTCGAAGCATAAGCGAGGTATACTTAGGTATACGTATATCATTCTACATGCATATTGTTAGACTGAGATGGATAGGTTGTGCTGCGAGTCGGCATGGACCGCCAAGCTTTCTGACTTGACTCACAAACTACGCAACCGAGGCGGTCCATGGGCTTTTAACTTCTGGGTGGCTCACTTTTTGCCGCTCGCTGCATAGCTCTTCTTCTACAAGACAAATTGTTACTTGTGGCAGCAAATATGTTGTCTTCACGTATGGGCGCAAAGGCCCTTCGGCCAGCCAGGTCACAATGGCGCTCTGCGTGAGTCTCTACCTACGGAAAAGAAAGCCTAATCGCTTACAATCAGTTCCAGACGCGCATTGTCGCAAACCGTCCAGCGTAGTTTTGCCTCCGCCGCCGACGACCAGCTCATTGGCGATGCCAAAGACGTCCCCAAGGATGCGCTCAACAAGACCAGCAGATTTATCACACAGCCAATCTCCCAGGGAGCTTCGCAGGCCATGTTGTACGCCACTGGCTTCCAGGAGGATGATATGAACAAGGCCCAGGTCGGCATTTCCTCCGTCTGGTACTCTGGAAACCCATGCAACATGCATCTTATGGAGCTCAACAACAAGGTCAACGAGGGTGTGCAAAGAGCCGGACTCAAGGGTATGCAGTTCAACACCATCGGTGTCAGTGATGGTATCTCTATGGGTACCAAAGGTATGCGTTACTCTCTGCAGTCGCGTGACTTGATCGCCGACTCCATCGAGACTGTGATGGGTGGACAATGGTACGATGCCAACATCTCCATTCCTGGTTGTGACAAGAACATGCCTGGTGTGATCATGGCCATGGGCAGAGTGAACCGCCCATCTCTTATGGTTTACGGCGGTTCGATCGCCGCTGGCTGTGGCTCCCTGCCAAAGAATGAGAAGCTCGACATTGTCTCCGCTTTCCAAGCTTACGGTCAATTCATCACTGGTGAGATCAAGGAGGAGGAGCGCTTCGACATCATCCGCCACGCTTGCCCAGGTAGCGGCGCATGCGGTGGCATGTACACTGCCAACACCATGGCTTCCGTTATTGAGGTCATGGGTATGACTCTCCCAGGTTCTTCCTCTAACCCAGCCACATCTCAGGCCAAGCGCCTTGAGTGTCTTGCCGCTGGTGGTGCCATCAAGAACCTCCTGAAGGAGGACATTCGTCCATCCGACATCCTCACCCGTAAGGCCTTCGAGAACGCCATGGTTCTCGTCAACATCACTGGTGGCTCGACCAATGCTGTTCTCCACCTTATCGCCATTGCCCATTCCGTTGGCATCACCCTTACCCCAGAAGACTTCCAGTCCGTCAGCGACCGCACTCCATTCCTTGCCGATCTTAAGCCATCCGGAAAGTACGTCATGGGAGACATCGCCGAGATCGGCGGTACTCCAGCGCTCCTCAAGTTCCTACTCAAGGAGGGTGTCATCGACGGTAGCGGCATGACCGTGACCGGAAAGACGCTTAAGGAGAACCTCGAGAAGGCCCCAGACTTCCCATCGGACCAGGAGATCATCCGCCCATTCAGCAACCCAATCAAGCCAACCGGCCACATCCAGATCCTCTACGGAAACCTCGCCCCAGGCGGATCCGTCGGCAAGATCACCGGAAAGGAGGGTCTCAAGTTCACCGGCAAGGCCCGCTGTTTCGACGCCGAGGACGACTTCATCTCCGCGCTCGAGCGCGGCGAGCTCAAGAAGGGCGAGAAGACCGTCGTCATCATCCGCTACGAGGGACCAAAGGGCGGCCCAGGCATGCCAGAGATGCTGAAGCCATCCTCCGCCATCATGGGCGCCGGGCTCGGAAACGACGTTGCGCTCCTCACCGACGGCCGTTTCTCCGGCGGCTCCCACGGCTTCCTGATCGGTCACATCGTGCCCGAGGCACAGGTTGGTGGCCCGATTGCGCTCGTCAAGGACGGCGATACGGTCACTATCGATGCTGAGACCCGTGTCATTGACGCGGATGTTAGCGCTGAGGAGATGCAGAAGAGGAAGTTGGACTGGAAGGCTCCGCCGTTCAAGTACCAGAAGGGTACCCTGTTCAAGTACTCCAGGGCTGTGCAGGATGCTAGCCACGGATGTATCACTGATGCTGCTGATCTCCCATAGACGGATATCTAGGTTTGGCTGAGATTTCTTGCTGTTAATTTTTTGACTTGCATTTCGCATGGCGTTGTGGCATGGTGGAGGGTCCCATGTCTGTGTATATATACGGTGGACAAAAAGCGTATAGAAGACCGATCGAAACAAATTTTGTATAACGTCACTTATTTGAGCACGAATAGTAAGACTTGTTTTGGCCTTCATTCTTGTAGAGCTCTTCAGAGACATGAGAGTTTTTCCTAGACGGGTGCGGCGCCACTTGCAATACAACGACCGAACCGGGCTAGTACGACAAGCCGCCTTTCCCTATCCGAAAGGTACGACATATCTGTATGTCTGACGAAATAAACAGAACAATAGTCCCCAAACTTTACCATCTTCTCCTCGCCCGCCTTCAGTCCTCTCCATCTCCTCGCTCGACAGCTCCCTGTGGCCAATGCGCCAAGGCAAGCTCCAGCGCCGCGTTCTGGTGGTTCCAGTCAAAGGGGTCGGGGTCGGGGTCCCAATACGGTTTGCCGTCCTCGTCCAGCGGGTTGTTACCGGCTGCATATCCGCCCATTCTTTGCGCAGGATGTTGCTGCGGTTGTAGATGCGCTCCTGTAATGCGTCAGTGCCGATTCATGGACTTGGCCCTTAGGGGATGCATAGAGGCTTAGAGTCAGGTAGATGGTGGACGTACGTGCCATATCAGCACTCCAACTTTTCCCTTTCCTTTTCCTTCGTTCAGCAGCTTCCGCAACTTAGCGTAGTCCTTTCCGTCAACGAGATCGTACATTTCTTTCTGTGGCACATGCATCTCGTCGCAGATCTGGTAGAGCCAATTCCCGTCCTTGAGCGTGTATCCGTCTGTATGCCCGTCGTTAACAGCCTGCCAATTTGCCGTCGCGTTCTTGAGCTGTGCTAGCAGACCCGGCCAGTCTGAAGTCGCGTCCAGATAGTATGTCTCGATGCTATCTACACGCCCGTCTGGGCGGAGCAGTGTCACTACGTTGATTGTGAATTGCGCCGGTGGCGGATACGTAAGGTCCGTGTACATTTTGTGGAGCGCGAATATCTTCCGGAACATGTTCATGGTTTCTATCTCAGGTTGTGAGGGGCGACTTTGATGGCGAATTGCATGCCGAGAAAGTTGTTGGCTCGGGATTTGAGAGATGGGTCTTGCAAGAGGAGGAGGTTGATACGCCCGGCTTGGTTCTTCGTCTGGGAGCGGTGGAGGGATGCTAGGTCCAGTTCCGCTTCAAGGTCTGGCGGCCCGTAAGAGAAGTCGAAGAGGGGCGTTGGATTGCTACTTGGTGCTGTGTTAGATGATGGCAGTGGTGATGGGGGGTATCCAGGCGGCATGTGCAATTGATCAGATAGTGGAATTGACCGTGATGTCAGTAGATGGCCTTCGTCCCAGTGGTTCTCTGTCACTAAGCTAAGAAGTTTTTGTACATCAGGTGCAGCAGACTCGTATAGCTGCAGTAGGTGCTCCATAACAGAAATTGTGGCGTGAAAATACACACAGCAAGGATGATTTGATGGAGGCGAGCGGAGAGGGTTAAGTTAGGCCGCACAGAGCGGAACAAGGTGAGGTGAAGTGGAGTGAAGTGAAGCCTAAGTATGTCATCAGTTTGATTCCATGGGAACGTAGTATGGTCGAAAGAGACGTCCAGACGGTTCCAAAGACTGAGTGTCGCTTGCTCACAACCAATGGAAAGCACGCAAACTACATCTCAATGGGATGTCATTATGTTCGAACCTTCCGCTGGTCGAGGCTTCCATGCTCCGGCTTCCAGATTGATCAAAACGCCTCCATATCCGCTTCCCGACTTTCCTCGTCATCAATCTTCCATGCTACACACAGGCAGGCGCATCTGGCACGTCCTCAGCGTCGTTACCGAGATACATCGACCTTTCAGCCGCAAGCTGAGGGTAAACTCTACCGTGCTCCATCTCCATGACGCACGCCATCTGATACAGCAAGTCTGCTCTTGCTTCTTGAAGTGCACACTTGTGCAACTCGTCCTGCCTTGCCTCGTTCCACTAGAGCTCAGCAGGTCTGGGTGTTGATTGAGACGCGTCTAAATCGCTCATGTCGTCGTCTTGTTGTTGTTGTTGTTGTTGTTGTTGTTGTTGTTGTTGTCGTCGTCGTGTCCGGTGCGGTGTGCGGGGTGCATCACAGCCGGAGGTGCTCGAGGCTGCGTGAAGGGGTTGACAGAAGGATTCTGTAGAGTGGGTAGACGTGCAGAAGAGTTCGGAGCGGCCTCATCTAGCGATCTAACCACATCTCTGCGAGTCAGGATATTGCCGTGACCAGCTTGCCTCATATACTCATCTTGCTTAGCCTGGAAGTTGGTGTATTCCTGCGGTGTGACGTGAGGCCGGATTAGATGCTCTGAGGCCCACTTCCTGACCTCGGTGTTGTGCCATGAGAGAGGCCCAGCGCCTGCGTGAGCTTGCACAGGCTGCCCCCGGATGGGTGGATGATAGATTTCTGGGCGTTTGATTGCTTGGAGGCTTTGCAGATCGACGAGGTCCAAGCCTTCGCTTGAAAGGCTGCGAAGGCT